CGGCGGTCAGTCCATGGGCAAGCCTGGCGCGGGCAGGCAGCCGCAGCCCGGGCTAGCTGCGGTGTGCGCGGGCTGGAGACAACCGGGGAGGCACCGAGCCCCCGCGGGCGGCTATGTCCATGTATGTACAGCGACACGGGGGAGCACGCACGCCTCTCTGCCTCTGCATTTAGGAACCCCCCTCCCTCCCTCCCTCCCCATTTCTCTGCTTGGACTAATTTCCGTGGTGCGGGACAGGAGCGGGAAGGCGCCGGCATGATTTTTTTGGCACGGGTTCGTAGGAGCAGATATGTAAGAATTGTAATAAGCGAATTCCATGGTCGCTATAATTATTAGTGCCATGTAGATACAGTCCAAGAGGTGTGTGTCCCTATATATTGCATATATATGTGCTGGAAGAGATAGCTAGGTAGATAGATAGACCCATTCCAGCCACACAGCACGGCTATATGGCAGATATAAGGCTGTATACTTGCCTTTTGCACTATGTTATGTCCAGCAATAATAACGAGGACACTAGAATTCGATTATTACAATTATTATTTTCTCTCTTTCTTTCTCTTCTTTCTCTCTCTCTCTCTTCCAGCAAAGTGATGTTCAACTTGACTGTTTAGGTTTCATTCCTTTGGCGAAACTATATGATATACGGACCTTTTGGTACATACTTTTAAGAGGCATTTATTCCTTTTTGGTACATATATGTTGCCTTTTGGAATAGACAATAGTAATAACTGCGACAATAGGATTTGATTCTTGTCATCTATCTGTCTTTCTATACTTATAGAGATAGAAATCGTTCAATCTATCTATCTATCTATGTATGTATGTATGGTGTCTGTCTCTGGCTGTGTATCGGTTCCTGTCCGGCTCCGGCTCTAGCTGTAGCTGCCCCGTACAGACGTGCTCCTGCCCGGCCCGTGCCCGGTCCCGCCCGGCCCCGGGGGTGCGCACAGACGCCGCAGCCGGTCCCGGGCCCCGGCCGCCGGCTGCCGCGATGTTTAATGGATGCTCCCTCT